GGAACACTGACGTCCCTTATAGCCTTTGCAGACTGCTAGAAATAGTGCAAATTGAGCCCACTTGAACTGCCCTGGCTCAGTGCTAGGGCATCATGGGAATTGTAGTTTTTTTCTGAGACACTGAGCCTTCTCTGTCAGAGAGCTCTGGTGCCACAGTAAACTACAGTTCCCGTGATTCCCTAGCACTGAGCCAGGACAGTTAAAGTGGACTCAATTTGCACTATTTCTGGCAGTCTGCAAAGGCCCTTAATGTGCTTGCGGGAGCCAGTGTGGGGTAGTGGTGTGAGCATTGGGACTCTGACTCTGGAGACCTGGGTTTGAATCCCGGCTCGGTCCATGGAAACCCAATGGGTGACCTTGGGCAAGTCAACCTTCAGCCTCAGAGGATGGCAGTGGCAAACCTCCTCTGAAGAAGCATGCCAAGACAACCCTGTGATAGGGTTGCCATAAGTCGGAAACAGCTTGAAGGCACACAACAACAAATGTGCTTGTGTCCCACCTTTCCTCTAAGGAGCTCAAGGCAACCTGTCAAATGTTCTTCTTTCTCTTTTTCTATCCTCCTGACAGCCCTGTGAGGTAGGTCGATGTGGGAGAGACTCACGTAGGAGTGGGGACTTAAGCTCCAGTCTTCTTGGTTCCTAGTCCAACACTAGCTCACTCCACCATTCTGGCTCCTGGTCACACAAGTGGCAATTATGGAAAGTGGCTGGGCAATGCTTATGAAGCACATGCAAAGGGGACAACTGAATCCCACCTGGAGCACATGGGAGACAGGACAGCATCCGCTAGGGCCAGGGTGACCAGATGTCTTAACCACAAAGGAGGACACGGCACCGCAAAATGTAGGACATTACCAACTAACCGCTAAAAACAGTAATATAAATTCATGCTTCTTCGTTGTGCTCAGAATGGAGGACATTTTGAAATTCCTCCTGGAGCGAAGGTTGAAGTGTAGGACATGTCCTGGAAGAGGAGGGCGCCTGGTCGCCCTGGCTAGGGCTGGTTTCTGCTCTCCCAGCTTTCTGTCCTAAAGATACCAGGTGGCATCTTTAAGCCAGAAGATGCCAGTGGGAGTACCCAGGAACTTCCAAAAGAGAAAAAGGAGCATTTCAGTCGCTGGCATTGCGGCAAACCTCTTGCCCCAAGCCAGAAACGGGATCCAGCTCTCCTGTCTGGCAGCAAGTGCCCCATTTAGAGTGCAAATTCCCTTTTGGCTCGGTCGGCAGAGTAGGAGGGGGCCTGGGCGGGAGGCGGATGTGGGACCCAGGCTTTGCCCAGCAGGTGTGTCTCTTGGCATCCAGCTTCGCTGCAGTGTGAACAAGAGGCAGGGATGCCGAAGGGATGGTGGGAAAGGAACCAGAGCCCCACTGTGAGAAGTTTGGTGGGGGAGAGCCTGGCGCCTAGTTGGAGAGCACATGCTTTGCACATAGGAACTCTCAGTCTCAATCCCTGGTGTCTCCAGTTTAGTCTGACCTGGTCGTAACGGGACTTGGGTGATCCAGGATCAGACGTTCCCCGAGCCAGAAAACTCACCGGATGATCCCAGGCGGATCATTCTGCTCATTGAAGGAAAGGTGGGCCCAATTCCTGAATTTATTGGGGTGAGGATTTCACCCCAAGATTGCCTCTCTTAAAAAGAACAACAAAACCATGGTGTTTGAAGATGCCCGTTTTTCTCCAAACCAGTGCCCTTCAAATGGGTTGTACTACACCTTATCATCCCCAACCAGCATGGCAGGATGGGAGTTGTAGTCCAAGACATCTAGAAGGACCAGGCTAGGGGAAAGGCTGACCTAGAATGAAAAGGTTTGCCGGCAGGGTCTGCCGTTTGCAGTGCTCACCTCTCTTGACCTGAGAGCTGAAAGAGAAGTAATGGGAGAGGTCCGCGCTGCCAGGTCAGGGGAGGCTGCTTTGACTTTTTGTCAGAGCCCGGTCCCTGAAAGAGTTTCAGCACCTTGGATAGTTCTTTTTAAAGTCTAGGATAAGCCCCAGAGTGGATGTATAACAGCCCCGACAGGGATGTCTTCAGCTGTCCTTGCTTAGCAACTTTGTATACGTGAAGTCCCAGCTTTGGCATCATGTCCAAATGATCTGTTTGGTTCAACACAGTTGGGGGAAAAACCCTGCCTGAGATCTTGGAGAAGCAAGCATTCCTTTGGACAGAGAAGCCTAAGCTAACCTGATCCTCAGTCTAGCTTTGTGTCCTTTGCGTGATTTCTAATTCACTAACAGAGCCAGCGTGGCATAGTGGTTTGAGTGCTGGACTAGGACAGTGAGAGACCAGTGTTCAAATCTTCACTTGGCCATGGAAACCCACTGGGTGTCTGTGGGCAAGTCACACACTCTCAGCCTCAGAGGAAGGCAATAATGGGTGAACCTTCTCTGAACAAATCTTCCCAAGAAAACCCTGGGATAGGCTTGCCATAAGTCAAAAACGACTCGAAGGCACACAACAACAGCATTCACTATGAGTTCATAAGTCTCACAGCCGAGTGCTAAAGCTCACATTGATTTTAGTGGGATCTCAGCATGCCCATCCCTTATTGGATCCCTTTCTCCCCAGAATGGTTTGCTTGGATGGCTGTTCTGTACCTTTTCCAGCTTGGTCCCTCCTGGCTGTCTGGATCCAAATGGTCTGGGTGGGTTGTGCATAACTGAGAACATGAAATGTTTCTTGGGGAATGACGGTGAGCTTTCCTCACAGGATACCCATGCATTTATTGTCCCAAGCGAGCCAGGATGGGCTGGCATAGAATTGGCAACTTCTGAGGAGGTAGCAGGTTCTTGTCTGCTGGAGCTCCTATCTCTGTTAATTTGTGGCACCTTTAAATCAAAGGCAAACAACTCTTTTGGACCCATGGGCCACCTCAAATATCAACTGGGAGGGTGGGCACACATACCTGCATACACAGAGAGACAGATTGTTCCGATTCTTCCTCCATGCACGATTTTCCCAACCAGCTTCCAGTGCAATCGTACCTCAGTTAACAAAACCTCTCACAGAAAAGCTCTTTGTTACAAAGCCTTTTGATACCCAGCCCACCTTTTCCTCTTTATCTACTGTTTGTGTTGTGTGCCTTCAAGTCATTTCTGACTTATGGTGACCCTAAGGCGAACCTATCCTGGACTTTTCTTGGCAAGATTTGTTCAAGGGAGGTTTGCCATTACTTTCCCCTAAGGCTGAGAGAGTGTGATTTGCCAAAGGTCACCCAGTGGGTTTCATGGCTGAGCGGGAATCGAACCCTGATCTCTAGAGTCAAAGGTTTTCAAGAAAAAGTTAAATGTGCTGAAACATGTTGACCTGCTCTTCTGTGTGTGTGTGTGTGTGTGTGGTGAAGGACCCTATCCCTGTTTCCATGCTATTTCTGTCTCTCATACCAAAGTTTCTATTAAAGGAGTAGTGCCTAGGAGCACATCCACTTTGTTTCCTGAGGTATACTTGCATTTTATATCTTCTGGAGGCCAGCAAACAGTCAGTCCTCAATGATTTTTTGGGTGTGTGTTTTGTTTGAGGGGGTTGCCCACTCTGTGTGTGTGTGTGTGTGTGTGTGTGTGTTGTGCAGGCTCACCCCAGCATGTTGATCCTTCTCTGTCTTGTACCTGGCTGTCGGCACAAGGATGTTGACCAGTATTGGAAGGAGTTATAACAAGACTGGGGGGTAATAATGGGATTGAAAGTGGAAGAGAGATGTTTTTAATTAGGACAGATACAAGCTACCTGTCAAGATACCTTCCATGGTGGTAGAATTCAAAGGTACAGCCGTGTTACTCTGGAAAATCAGTCTGCAAAGGGATTTTGTAACACCTTTGAGATTAGCTTAAAGAAAGAAGTTGGTAGTGTGAGCTTTTGTAGACTACAGCCTACTTCCTCAGATGCATGTCTGCGAAAGCTCATAGTACTAACTTCTTTGTTAGTCTTAAAGGTGCCACAAGATCCCTTTGCAGACTGTCAAAATACCTGTTTGTCTGAAAAAAGGCTAGGAAGCAGTTGCTGATTCAGACCTGGGTGGAATCTGTGCCTGAATGCCATCTTACTTAGACTGAGGAACTTGGCCAAAGCCCACTATTTTGTAAGACTAAGGGGAATCTTATTGTCACTTTGTGTTATCTGGGAGCTTCATTGCCTACTCCAGGCCACGGCCAGCAAGCTAGCAATGCATGCTTTTGGTGAGGGGTTGTCCTAGACATTTTGCTGTCTGGGGCAAGGGAGCAATTGCAGACACCTCCTTCTAACCACAGAACTAGAGTAGCAGTAGAATCTTCCTTTGACACTGGTGATGGGATATAATCTTCCATTGCAACTGTGTATGTGTGTGTATTGCTAGCTTAAGGGATGTGGGGCGGGCCTCCTAAACCACACAGCTCTGCTATGAGATGAATGGTTACAGGACTGCATCTGCTGCCTGAGGTGACTGCCTCATTCTGTCTTCTGGTAGGGCTGGCCCTGGTTTGGGCATGTTAATTTTAGGGACCTTATTCTAAGACTTCTTGGCTTCTAGTTGTGAGATGAGCTCTGGACATGACGGTACTCTCCTGGTACCTGGCAGCCATTATAACTACTAGTAATCGCTACTGTGGTATTTGCCTAGGTGTACGCTCCCTGCAGGATTTATGAACACAGCTGGCACACCATCAGAGCTGTAATTATTCCTTTGCACTTAATGTGAGCCCCAGAACCTATTCTGAATGCTTGGGGAGGGGGGGGGTCACTCTTGGAATATGTGAAATAGTTACACACAAACAGACATTCATACACCCTTGCATGAAATTGCCTTATACCAAATCAGACTGCTGATCCATTGAGTCCAGATGTTGTCCTTGCTGTGAACATTGATTTTGATGAACTTGTTGTTGTTTGCCTTCAAGTCTTTTCCCACTTATGGTGATCTTAAGGCCACCCTGCCATTGGGCTTTCTTGGCAAGATTTATTCAGAGGAGGTTTGGCATTGCCTTCCTCTTACGCCAAGAGAATGTGACTTGCTGAAGGTCACTTAGTGGCTTTCCAGGACTGAGCTGGGTACTGAACTCAAGTCTTCAGAGTCATAGTCCAACACTCAACCACTGTGCCATGCTGGTTGTCGGTATATAAATGTTTTAGATGCAAAATTAAACAAGGAAATAAATAAGTTTACAGTGATGGGCAATGGCACTGTACACACAACTCCATTTCCTGAATATGAAGGTTCTGCATTGGACAAAAATATTCTACATAGGGAGACTTACATATGCATGAGATGCCAACAGAATTCCAGCCAGAATGTGCACATGTGATTTATGTCCAACGTAGATAAGACATACTGCTGTAGACTGTAGAAAGAACAGAAGGCTTAATTGAGACATTATGTTTTTAACCTCAATTTTTGTAAAATACCTAGATTGTTAAATCATGGCTTGTGCTTGGTTCTCACACCAGAATCAAGCCATGATTTGCAGTGGAGTTTCTTAACAGTTGTTTATGAGATGCCTGGATTGACCTAGCACAGTGAAGTTTGCTGTATGGAGATGGGAACAGAACCAATTCATATGTTCTTCCTCTGAGACAGGGAGTAATAATGTACTGATCTCATGGTTCACTGCGTTTCTTCTTTGTCACAAAAAGAGTTAACTGTAACATTGATGGGTTGATTTTTTTTCTGGGGTTACCACCTACACCTCTTGGTTAACTTCTGTTTCTGGGATTTCTTGTCGTCCCTACTTTGGGGGTGTTTTATGGATGGGACTTATTTCCAATCATGTTTTGAAACAAAACCTTACAAAGTTTTTCTGGGTGAATTTTTAAGACTGGGAGACAGATGCAATTAAACTGTGTGACAAGATAATTAACTAGACAAGCCACACAACATGAATCCCACCCACTCCACCTCACCATCTGTCTTAATCTGTTCTTCCTTCTCGGCTATGTGACATCCATGCCATCCATCTCTTTCCCATCTGATTTTGGTGGATGTGCAGCTCCTGGTGACTTTGTAGGTCACATCTGAAACAAGACATTGTATAGACAGGTAGAAGGCTGCCTGTTTTTGTATTTTGTTGGAACATTGGTCCACCTTGTTCATTATTATACGTACTGGAATAGGCAGCTATGGAGAGTCTGTGGATGAATTTTCTACCCCACAGCAGGCCACATTACCTCCTCCTACCAAAACAATTCACATGGGGCTATGCACTTTAATAAGATCTGGAATCCTCTGACTTACAAAAGTATAAGTCCACCTTACACATGCCTAACTCCCTTTTTGCACTGTTGCTATTATTATTATTATTATTATTATTATTAGTAGTAGTAGTAGTAGTAGTAGTAGTATCCCACTTTTCCTAAAACTGGGACTCAGATGGGCTTACAATTTAAAATAACAGTACAAAATTGATGCATTAAAATAGAATTAAATTATTACAATATTAAAAAAAAAAACAGATCACTCGTTAAAAGAATGTAATAAAAAGATAAGTGTTTCAAACAGTACACTTTAAATCAATACAACACCCCAGCCTGTGTTTTAAAGACTCAGTTTTCTGTTGAAAGACCTTTTGCAGAGGTCTGAATTCTCTGCTGACTGCACAATGACCAAACTTCCCCCCAGCCACATTTTTAAGGTGCTGCACTCCCCGCAGTGTGGCCAGTCAAGAGCGAGAGGGTTGCAGAGATGTGTCCAGCTGTGCTTTCACAGGTGGATGCACAGCAGTGACTTCATTGCAATAACTTCCAGAGCCCACGCTCCCCCAGCCGAGATCCTGGAGGACGCCTGTTGCTGTGCATCCAGCTACAGGAACAGAACTGGTCATGGCTCTGCTACCCCTCCTGCCAGTTTGAAAATGGCCATGTTTAGGGAGAAGTGCTGCAGCAGCTTAAAAAGTGGGTTGGGGTGAAGTGGAGAGGATGTTTTGCAAAAGACAAAAATGTGATGCAGAGGCAAAATTGAAATTAAATCCAAACAAGCGGTGTGCCTGGTCAGTTGAAAGACAGTGGAGTGAATAAGGATTCAGCCTGTGTAGGATAGGTTACACCTGCTGATGAAGATACAGATCTCCAGGTTCAGGGTGCTCCAGGATCCCATCCTGAGCCTGGAAGCTCTGGTCTCGGTGGTAGCAAGAGGTGCAAATACACAGTTAAAGACACTTAACTGTGTAATTGAACAGTTAAGTTTTGTGCACCAGACTTTGCCATGGTAATATATGCCTCAGTTGCATCCTGTGTGGATTCCTGTAACATGCTCTACATGGAGCTACCTTTGAAGAGTGTTTGGAAACTTCAGCTGGTCCAAAGGGCTACAGCCAGATTGTTAACTGGAGTTGGTTACTGGGAGCACACAACTCCCGTGTTGTCGCAGCTCCACTGGATGCCAGTCTGTTTCAAGGCACAATTCAAAGTGTTGGCTGTAATCTACAAAGCTCTATACGGCTCAGATCCAGGTTATCTGAAGGACCTATACAAGCCTGCCCATGTTTGAGATCTTCTGGGAAGGACCTTCTCTCTGTGGGTTTTGGGGACATCTACAATAATGGCAATGGTACCACAATCAAAAATGTGAATAGGAAAGGTTGCAAGTCTAATTTATGACTAATTGTCAGGTTGCCAGCTTATTTGTAACCTTTTTATGATGTAAAGTTTTTAGCTGAATCTGTTTTAACCATTGAAAGTCGCCTTGAGTCTTGGATTGGGAAAAGGGCAGGATATAAATAACCACAACAGTGTACCAGGATCAAGTTCTGATCAGCCCATGCTTTGCACTCAGATCTTTGGTTCAGTTGAAAAGATCTCAGGTTGTAGTAAGGGGAAGGAGTCATACCTAAATGCTGAAAAGCAACAGCAGAACTTGGTAGAAGTCTTTCCAAATCTGATGTGATAGGTGTGCTGGATGGCAAGAACTTTAGTCCCAAATGAATGTTAGTCCAACAAATATGGGGAGGGTTTAATAGATGGAACAATAGTTTGACTCAGGATAGGGTAGATTCATAAGTTTTCTTGCCCATTTTATTACTGCAATAACTGTACTGATATGTTTACTGTATTTATCCAAAGCTGCCTAGTAATATGAATCTCTGGGTGGATGACAAAATAAAATACCTTGCAAAACATAATACAGGGCCATTCACAAAACATGATTTATCAGTATAAATTTTTTTAGGAAAGAGAAGAATAAAGGTAAGTTACCACAAAATGCACAGTACACGATAAAACAGTCAATGAGAATGCTAAAATCTCAAAGATGTACCTACATTCACACATACCTTACTGTTTTTTTGAAGGCCTGGGAGAATTTTTTTAAAGTCGTCACTCTCTCTCAGCCTCAGAGGGCAAAAGCAAACCTCCTCGGAACAAATCTTGCCAAGAAAACCCCATGATAGTGTCGCCTTAGGGTTGCCATAAGTCTGAAAGGACTTGCAGGCACACAGCAACAACAGCAAGGTCCCATTGTACCCAGTGAAGGTTACTCCCAAGTAAGGTTGTATAGGATTGCAGGCTAACTAACACTCATAACTGCTATGTAATACTGGCTGCCCAGGTTTGGAATATGGGAGTTCCGGGTTACAGTTATAGAGCAAGTTGTGCGCAATCCACACCTAAACAAACTTATTCAGAAATAAATTGCAAGTGTGGAGCATGCTTTGAAATAATTACACTTAGGATTACAACATGTTTTTTGTTTTTGACTGTCATCTTTTAACAATACTAACCTCCAGTTAACTCCAGCAACATGGAACTTAATTGATGGCAGGATCCTGCAGGCTTTTATACGATTGCAGAAAGATCTATGCTCCAGGGGTGGAAAGATAAATATTCACCATCTTTCATTCAATGGTCAGAAGATCTGATTGCTTTAGATGTGCACAAACATTTGATAGACATCAGTTTTAAGGAAACATATTTTTGTAAAGCTTATATTAATGTTATCCTTAACCCATGTTCATATCCTGGGTGCTCCTGTTTTTTGTTGTTGTTTTTTTCTACTTTTTTCTTCTTTACATAATTATAGTTCTAAAATCCAGTAAGATTTATATTATAAGAGACAAAACAAACTTGAGTTCTAGTTGACAGGTTTTTTGTATGTTTTTAATGTTGTAAGCCACCCTGATTGCGTTGCAGAAGGGCGGGATAATAATAATAATAATAATAATAATAATAATAATAATAATAATAATAATAAAGGCAGTAGTGTTAATTATCAGTTCACCCTTGCAAAGAACTTCACAGTAGTGGCCAACATTTTCTAATTTCTTGCACTGACAAACAAAAAGGAAAATATATCTATATTCAGCTCTTTCCCAGTGTACAAAAGTAACCCTGGCTGGGTGCTTAGAGATGTGTTTGTAGGATAGAGGTAGACAAAGTATGGCCCTGGGTGCAAAACATTTTCCTCCAAAAAATCTTTTTGCTCCCAAATGCCCTCTGTGGTGTTAACAACATATTCTGAGGCTGCATGGGCCCCCAGGGATATTTTTAAAATCTGTGAAACATTTCAAAAAAGTCTTCCCCCAAAATCAGGGTGACCAATCATTCTCCTTTTCCAGGACATGTCTGACATTTCAACCTTCTGTCCAGGAGGAATTCCAAAATGCCCTCGATTTTGAGCTTGACTAAGAAGCACACATGTATATTTATATTTGGGTTTTTACTTTTTATTTTGCAATGCCCTACATTTTGCGGAGCCTTGTCCTCCTTTGTGGTTGGGACATCTGGTCACCCTGCCCAAAATGCCTACTATGTGTCCAGGGGGGTATTTCCACTACATTGTGGTGGGCCTTGAACCAACTTAGGCCATGGAGAAGCTTTCTTTGAAACAGAAAGTGGAATAGAAGTGACTTTAGCTCACTTCCCATTGCTAAAAAGGCCTCTCCTGGGTCCAATCAATGACTCAGTAAGCCCCCAAAACATGGTGAAAGTGCCCCCTTAAAGGGAATTTTGGGGCAAAAAAACTTTTTATTTTTGCAGATGGGGGTGCAGCCCTCCGAGGTCTCCTCTGGGACTAATGCTGCCCCTTACTATGCCACGGTTGCCCACCCCTGCAGTAGGTTATTGTGAAGAAGCAAGCACATCGTAACTGTAAGCCTGTTTTAATGTATCAAGGAGCCAGCAT